TCATAATGTGAGAAAACATCACTATACTGAAACTGGAGAAAGATTATTTTTAGAATTTGGAAGTGTGGTCCTTACTAAATTGTAAAATAGTAGAAACTCTTTGAATCATTTTATCAACTGTTAATATTATACAGTGATTCTTCAATTCCATCATAAAAACATACCTCAAAATCTGTGAAATTTTTGAGACATATCTGTACTTTCCTTTTCTTTTCCAATTTTGTTATTGTAGTAAAATACACATAACCTAAAATTTAGCATCTTAACCATTTTTAAGTGTATAGTTCAGTAGAACTAATGTATAATGTTGTGCAACCATAACCACCATTCATCTCCAGAACTATTTTTATCTTGCAAAACTGAAACTCTATACCCATTAAACATGAAGTCATCATTCCTCCCTGCCCCCAGTCCCTAGCAAACACCATTCTACTTTCTTTTTCTATTATTTTGATTACTCTAAGTACCCTATATAAGTGGAATTGTATAGTACTTTGGCTTTCTTGTGACTAGCTACTTTCACTTAGCGTACTGTCCTCAAGTTTCAACTGCATTGGAGCATTTGTCATAATTTCCTTTCATTTTCATAAAAGAAATAGGAAATACAGAAAAGTGAGGATAGAAGTTCTGAAGCTCTGTCTGCTCAGCTTCTCCTTTATGCACCTCTCCAAAGTCCAAGACTCTATGGGACACAGCTTGCATATCACTGTTAAAGTTGAAAGGGTTTTTTAAAAGAAGAGTTTTTCTTCCTTTTCAAAGTTGAATAATATTCCATTGTATGGATATAATACATTTTGCTTATCTATTCATCCATCATGGACACTTGGGGCTGCTTCTACCTTTTAGCTATTGTGAATGATGCTGTCATGAACATGAGTTGTACAATAGCTGTTCAAGACCCTGCTTTCAATTCTGTTGGATATATACCCAGAAGCAGAATTTCTGTATCATATGGTAATATGATTTTTAATTTTTTGAGGAACAGCCATACAGTTTTCCACAGTGGCTGTATCATTTTATATTCCAGCCAATAGGACACAAGAGTTCCAATTTCTCCATGTCCTTGACAATACTTGTTATTTTCTATTTTTTCAAAGAACTTATTCTCCTGAGTCTTAGATGGTATAACACTGTAGTTTATATTTACATTTCTCTAATGATTAATGTTATTGAGTATCTTTTCAGGTGCTTTTTAGGTATTTGTATATCCTCTTTAGAA